TCCCGGGCCTGAGGGCTCGCAGCGCCGGTGCGGGCCTGTCCCGTCTCCCCCACGGAACCCCGTTCACCCCGCAGCCGGGCGGCGGAGCCCACGGCCCTGTCTGTGCCCCCGCAGGAGCTGGAGTGGGACATGGAGCCGCAGGAGCTGGCCCTGGAGCAGCCCCTGCCCGCCCCCGAGCAGGGCCCCGGCGGGGAGGCCGAGCTACCGGCCGCCGAGATCTCCCTGACGCTGGTCACCGAGATCCAGGCCGTGGACAGGAAGGTGGACGCCCAGGCCGCCCAGTTGATGAACCTGGAGGGGAGGATGAGGATGGCGGAAACCAAGCTGATCGGCTGCGAGAAAACGGCGGTGGAATTCGGGAACCAGCTGGAGAGCAAGTGGACCGCGCTGGGCACCCTCATCCAGGAGTACGGGCAGCTCCAGCGGCGCCTGGAGAACATGGAGAACCTGCTGAAGAACAGGAACTTCTGGATCCTGCGGCTGCCCCCGGGGGCGAAGGGGGAAGTCCCCAAGGTAACGGTCCTCTGCTCCGCGTCTTCGAAACGGGGTTCTTCCGCACGTACGCTGCGCTCGCAGCCCCGTTTCAGGGCAGCCGCCGTGCTGAGCGGGACGCAGCTTCCCTGCAGCTCTTTCCTCTAGCGCTCGGCGAGAGGCGCCAGCACAGGCCCCTTCGCGTTAATTGCGTGCCGCTCGTTATAGACACGCGATCCTCGCCAAAGCGCATCGGCCGCTCTGCGCGGGGTTGCAGACTCCTTAGCGTGGCCGGAGCCGTGTTTGAGTCGCGCGGAATTGATGTGGCTCAGCCCCGTCTGCCTGCCCGGGTTTGGCAACGTGTGCCCGGTTCCTCTTCAGAGGCAGAACCGTGTCAAAAATGAAGTGGGAAAAGGGTCTGTCGTTGGGTGCTGGGCGCGAGACGTCGTCCGCAACGCGAGGGGGTGGGGGCGGGCAGGTGACGAGGGAGAGCCGCGTCCTGTCCCTCGCAGGCAGGGGGGAAGCTGCCTGGGGAAGGAGCGGGCGTTGCTGCGTGGAACTGTCCTGTGCGGTGCTCGAGGGGTTTGAAGGAGAAAACGTCCCTGGTTGTTTTCTTCAACAAGAAGCAAAACGCCTGAGCGTGTGACGCTTCAATTGCAGGTCCCCGTGGCGTTCAACGATGCTTCGTTTAACTTCTCCGAGGAGGAGTGGAAGAGCTTGAACGAGTGGCAGAAGGAGCTGTACAGGCATATCATGAAAGGCAACTACGAGGCCGTCATCTCGATGGGTAAAGACGGGCTGGGGTTTGCCCTGAGCCTTCTGATGCGCCAGGTTTTCCCGGGGCCTGGCGGATGGAAGCACCGCCGTGCCTGGCAGGATCGGGGAGGGCGTGCTGGCCCGGGAACGCGTTACGCCGGCTTTCGACAGCAGCCCTGGCAGTTAGTTCAGTCCTCCCCGGTTCAGTGTAGCGGTGGCTGGACGTCACAAGCATCGCTGCAGTGACCGCGTCTCTGTGGCCGGTGGGAGCCGAGCGGGCACCTGGGTCGTGAGGAGGAGGGGAAGCGAGGGGACCCTCAAGCCAAGCAAAGATGGGGAAGAGGGGAGTTTTCTTTGTCACGCCAAGGTCCACAGATCCACTGCGCTGGGTGCATCAGCCTGCTCGCCGCTTAGGGCAGCAGAGGGGTGCCTGGCCTCTGAGGTTCCTTCCAGGCCTTTCTGTGCAGAAAGTCCTTCAGTCCTTCTGCTGCAGAGCCTTCCGTAAGGCAGGAGAGCGAGGTTCGTCAGCTGCCTGCCTTGGTGCTCTGTCTGACCCCAGCCTCAGCCCAGGGAACGTTTTTTTGCACAAGCTGTTGCGGCGTCTGCCCCTGTATCGCCAGGGGTAGAGCTGGGGAGAAGCAGCCGGCGAAGGCAAGCTCTGCCTTCTGCTTTCCCCTCCGGCAGCTCAGGGCAGCGCCATCGCAGCTAAACGAACGTGCTCCGCTCGCTCCTTCCAGTCCCGGCTGCGGGGATTCCCTCTGGGGGACGCGTTGCCTTCGCGAGCACCTACGCGTGTCCCGAGAAGTGACCTTGCCTTGGCTGGACGTCCGCGTGCAGCGGTGGGAGCGCAGACACCGTCCCTGGTAGACGGGCGTCTCCCCCCTGTGCTGAGGCCGCTGCTGTGCAGGCTCACCTGCCATCCGACTCTGGGTGAGCCAGGCCTTTTGTCCTTTTATTTTTTTTTCCTTTCTTCCTTTATTTTTTTTGGACAGAGGTCGTCTGCAGTCCCTGTGTGTAAGGGAAAAAGGTGAAGGATAAATACGCGCCCCCATTCTCCTGTTTAAAAACCAGTCCCGTTTCCTACTCTGGGGGCGCAGGAACGTAACAGTCCCGCTGAAGGGGATCTATGGATCTGAGCCTGGAGCTTAGAAAAATGTATCTGTGCTTCATCTGAAGGTTTCCTTTGAGTAACGAGGTTTAGGGGTTTGGCCCTCATATAAGGCGAACGGATCCACCAGAGCAGCGGTGGAAGTTAATACCCAGCGACTCACACTTGTTTGGAAATGAAGTTTTCCGCTCTCCGCCCTAGGAGAGGTTGCGATTGTCCCCTTTCCCCCGCCAAAATCCGCAAGCAGCCTGTGACTCGGACGAGTAGGATGGAGCGGTCCTGGCTGGAGGGATCCGCATGGGGAGGGCACTTCCCCTGCTGCCGCTGGCTGACAGCTCTGGTGCTGTCCCCGAGCTGAAGTCCCCATTGTAATGGATCCGCGGACCTTAGCAGAGAGGAGAAGAAAGGAAGCCTGGAGGTAAGCACAGATGCATTTTCTTATTCTCCTCCTCACGCTGCAGGCTGGGAGGTGCTCCTCACCGGAGCAGGGTGTGCTCCTGCAGTCCGCTCATGTTCCCAGGGCCCAGCCAAGGTGAGCGGTGCAGATGTGTGAGAGCATCTTCTTAAGCCTCTCTTTCCATTACTCGTCATCCCCAGCAGCGAAGGAAGGTTGGTGGGCGAAGGTTTGAGAGTCTCTCTCCTGCGAGGGCAAAGGAAACGTTCTGATCCTCTTTTTACCTGCAGATGCTGCCATTTCGAAGCCTGACCTCCTGTCACGGATTGAGCAGGGAGAGGATCCCAACGCGGAGGATCAGGATGACTCTGAGGGAGGAGAAACCCCTACAGACCCCAGCACCGGTGAGCCATACGGTTCTGAGGACTCGGTGGGGAGGTGGAAAGCAAACACGTGGCTGCCACCGCCCGCCCGCACTCTTCTGCTTGCCTCTGCTGTTGACTTTTGCCGGCTCTGTCCTGGGGTACATGGTCAACAGCTGCCTGAACACGAGCCAGCAGGGTGCCCAGGTGGCCAAGAGGGCCAGTGGCATCCTGGCTTGTATCAGGAACAGTGTGGCCAGCAGGAGCAGGGCAGGGATCGTCCCCCTGTGCTGGGCACTGGGGAGGCCGCCCCTCGAATGCTGTGCTCAGCGCTGGGCCCCTCACCCCAAGGCGGCCATGGAGGGGCTGGAGCGTGGCCAGAGCAGGGCAGCGAGGCTGGGGCAGGGGCTGGAGCCCAAGGCTGGGGAGGAGCGGCTGGGGGAGCTGGGGGGGCTCAGCCTGGAGGAGGCTGAGGGGAGCCCTCATCGCTCTCTGCAACTGCCTGACAGGAGGCTGGAGCCGGGGGGGGGCGGTCTCTTCTCCCCAGTAACAAGT